CGCTCGAGTCGCGATAGGCGACAGGCGACCAGCCACCGAGGCTCCATTCAACCATTGCAAGCACCCGAGTCCATCTCTTGCTGAGCTGATACAGAGGACAGCGGTTTTTAGACCCCATCCTCGTCATCCTACGGTCAAGGCACCGCCGGGAGCTCGTCCACTCGCTTCCCCCCCTCGCTCGCCGTCCGAATCCCACCTTCCACCCAGACACGCACGACACGACAGGACAACCAAGACCACATAGCGATCCCCATCTGCCCGAGGTGTTAGCCTCCGCGAGCTCGGAACCATGCAGCTCCCCTCGCCGGCAGACTCGGGCGACGCCTCCCCCCTCCCGCCGCCGCTGGACGGAAACCTCCTCATCGACCTCTCCCCGCTGCCGACCATGGTGCTGTCGCCGTCCTGCTGTATCACGCGCGTCTCGAACCGCTTCCTCGACAGCTGGGCCGTGACGCGCGAGGACTGCGTTGGCCAGCAGCTCCTCAGCTTTATCGACAGGCAGCTGCATCCCGCCGGCTCGGCGGCCATCTTGTACATTAGCGCTACCATCGACGCCGCCGTCGCCGCCCGCGCCGAGCGCACCACCAAGCAAATCACAACCATAAACGCCACGTCGTGGAGGGCCCGCGTGCTGCCCATCTTCAACGGCGCCGAACTGCTGGCCACGGTGCTCGAGTGGCAGGAGGGCTCGGCGCCCCTGATCGAGGAAGAAATCGTCCGTCCCGGCCTCTCGACCGACGAGGCTTTCCGCATCCTCGTCCAGGCCGTCAAGGACTATGCTATCTTCCTCCTCGACACGTCTGGCCACATCGCCTCGTGGAACAGAGGTGCCGAGCTGCTCAAGGGATACCGCCGCGAGGAGATCATTGGCAAGCACTTTTCCGTCTTTTACGGCACCGACGACCTGGCCGTCCGCAAGCCCGAGCTGGAACTCGAGATTTGCCTGCGCGAGGGCCGCGTCGAGGACGAAGGGTGGCGCTACAAGAAGGACGGCACCCGCTTCTGGGCCAACGTCATCATCACGGCCGTCTACAAGGACGGCGTCCACGTCGGCTTCGGCAAGGTCACGCGCGACCTGACGGAGCGCAAGACGTCCGAGTCGCGCCTCATCGCCGCCTACGAGGAGAGCGAGAAGCTCAAGTCCGACTTCCTCGCCAACATGAGCCACGAGATCCGCACCCCCATGCACGGCATGCTCTCGGCCTGCTCGCTGCTCCTCGACACGGCGCTGACCGACAGGCAAAAGGACATTGTCTACATCATGGACGAGTCGGGCCAGGTGCTGCTGCAGGTCATCAACGACATCCTCGACTACTCCAAGCTGGCCTCGGGGAGCTTCTCCATCACGTCGGACATTGTCGGCATCACCAGCGTCATCACGTCCGTCGTCCGCAGCGTGCAGACGACGATGCGCTCGCCCGTCCACTTTGAGCTGTTCCTGGCCCCGGAGCTCCCCAAGAGCGTGCAGGGCGACCCGCTGCGCTACCGCCAGATCGTGCACAACCTTGTCAACAATGCCGGAAAGTTCACCGAGAGGGGCCACATCCGCATCCAGGCCTCGGTGCAGAGCGAGGACGAGGACTCGTACGTCGTCCTCACCGAAGTCACCGACACGGGCATCGGCATCCCCGACGCGGGCTCCGCCAACCTGTTCACGCCCTTTACCCAGTTTGACGCCACCACTACCAAGAGGTTCAAGGGCACCGGCCTGGGGCTATCGATCGCCAAGTCCCTCGCCGAGCTGATGGGCGGCCGCATCGGATACCGCCCTAACCCCGAGCGCCAAGGCAGCATCTTTTGGTTCACGGCGCGCTTTAAGAAGATCAAGAGCCTGGAGCAGATCAACGCCTGGAAGAACAACTACAGCCGCGGCGAGGACGTGCACCAGCTGGCCCTCGGGAGCCCGTCGCCCGAGCTTGTGGCGGAGCTGGGTCGCGCGGCTTCGACTAAGAGCCTCCTCCTGGCCGAGGACAACATCATCAACCAAAAGGTCATGATCGGCATGCTTCGCTCCATCGGCTTCAAGAACGTGGCCCTGGCCGCCAACGGCGCCGAGGCCGTAAAGATGGTTCGGGGCAAGCCGGCCGCTTACGACATGGTGCTCATGGACATCAACATGCCCATCCTAGACGGGCACAAGGCCTCGGTCCAGATCAGGGAGGCGGGCATCCGCGTCCCCATCGTCGCCATGACGGCCTACGCCCTCAAGGGCGACAAGGAGCGCTGCCTGGAGCACGGCATGGACGACTACATTCCCAAGCCAGTTCAGAAGCAGTACTTAATCAAGGTCCTCTGCCAGTGGCTGTTGACGGAGAAGGACTACCGAGTCACGACGAGTGAGGACTTTGCGAGAGACAGCCTATTAGAGCTCAAAAAGATTCAACAGCAACCACCGGCGTTCAAGCAGTTTCCCAAGTCGCTACTGCCGCTCCCGCCAATCCAGGTCGAGGTGCTTGCCCCCAAGCCGCCCTCGGTGGCCCCGGTGTCGGAGCCAGCAGCTCGAACCGAGATCTCTGAGCCGAATGGAAGACAAGAGATGCAAAGGTCAGATACACTCGTTCAGGCCACGGTCCCTCTGCCGATCGGAGTACACGAGGGCCAAGGGTCAGATCTACAAGCTGAGAAAAAGCCGCAGTCCCAACACGCCAAGCCTCTGGAGGAAGTTGAGAAGTTTGCGCAAGACCTGACACCACCGCCTCCGCTGGCAGAGTTACCCGTCACTGTGCTCGCACAGCAAGACTCGCAGCAAACTCAACCAGGGCAGCAAACCCAACCAGGGCTTGCCTCGGAACGTCAGTCGGAAGCACACGCAAAAGAACTGGATGCTGAGAAGAAAACTATGGAGCCTCCTTTGGAAGCCCAGCAACAGCAGCAGCACCCATTACCGCAGTCAAATGGAGCGATTCACGAGTCACTGGCAGAGGAAGGGTCTCTGACGCAGCAAGAGTCGCCAATACAACCAGGCGTGGCACAGGGGGGTTGAACAGCAAATCTAGACGCATTGGGATCTGGGGTTATGGCGCGGGCAACATGGTGCATTTATTTGATCTTCACGGCGTTGTCAGCGTTCTATCACCACCATGGTCACCAGTGTAATGTTTTTTTGTCTCTTTTATGAATATCCATTTGGCTTTTTGTTGGGGGCGATGGCGCCATCGTCGAGGTGCAAGAAATGTCGATATGCCTCTGTCTGCGTCAGGATGTATGGGATATTATGTTCTTGATCATTTGATACCCGGGGGATTAAACAAGGTGTGCAAGGCGTTTGATCTTGAATAAATTACTGTGAAATTACAAGTTGCTTCTCGTTCACCAACCGGCCTCGCAATGATGCCTCCGGCGGCCCTCCGGGGGCGCCTGCGGCGGGCTGCTCGCTGCGCTCGGAGAACGGTCTGCCCATCCGGCGTGCTTCTAGGCCCTTTTCCTGGAGAGGGGATCGCAACTGTAAAGCCATCACGATATGCAACGGCAGGGTGTCTCCTAGGTTTTCTTTGGCTGTCTTTTTCTCGGACACGCTCAAGCAGCGCTCAGGTATTTTTTTGCGGCCCACGGTGAGGGGGCTGTCTCCACGGCTTCTTGTGTCTGTAGTAGACTTTGAGAGGCCCATGACGAGCACCTGAAGTCATGCAGCGCTTGGGCCGCAGAGGCCGCGGAGATGGACAGGCTCCGACTTGAGCCGCTCATTCTTTGCTCGGATGACGATGTTTGGGTAATGCTGGTGATGTCATGTCGACAAGAGGAGGGCAGGGCGGCGTCCGAGTTCTGCCATGGCAAAGACATGCCATATCCCGTCCATGACGAAAGAAGTGCAACGGTTGAACCGGTCCATGTATAAAGCATCGATTCCCTACTCCCACCTCTCTGCATTCCGTCCCCCCTCAGGCCACTCGTCTCTTCCAAACCTGTCATGAGAACAAGCCGCACCCTCCTCAACGCACCCGTCCTCTTATCCAGACCCTTGAAACCCACGCCGTCCGCCATCACCAAGGCGTACCTCTCCACGAAACCACCCAACATGTCCTCCCTCTGGTTCCCCCGCTCCCTCGCCCACCCCCACAGCAACCCCTCGGGCTTCTCCTCCCTCTTCAAGATGCTCGACGACTTTGAGCGCTACTCCAACCAGGACGGCCAGCTTGAGGGCGCGCGCGGCACCGACGCCGCCGGCGTGCCGCAGGGCATCATCGCCCCCAAGTTCGACGTGGCCGAGCACGACAAGGCCTACCACCTGCAGGGCGAGCTGCCGGGCGTGCCGCCCGAGAACGTGGTGCTAGAGTTTACGGATCCGCAGACGCTGGTGGTGCGCGGCAAGGCGGAGCGGTCGCACACCGAGGGAGATCCGTCGCTTGCGCCGAAGCGGATTGGGGGTGTGGCGGAGCAGGGCAAGATAGACGGGGAGAAGGAGGAGAAAGGAGAGCAGCAGCAGGGTGAGAAGAAGGGGGGCAAGGAGACCGAGAGCAAGGGGGGCGCGAGCAAGCCCAAGTACTGGCTGAGTGAGAGGTCGTATGGCGAGTTTTCGAGGGTGTTTAGCTTTCCCTCGAGCGTCGATCAGGACAAGGTCGAGGCCAAGTTTGAGAATGGAGTGCTGAATGTCATTGTGCCTAAGGTGGAGAAGAAGGGAACGAGGAGGATCGAGATTAAGTAGATAACGGCGTTGAAGGAGGTGGGGATGTGATTTGGGACAGTGTATTGTATGAATATAGGTACTAAAAAGGGAAGAAACGGAAGAAACGGAAAAAGCCCGAAGAGAAAAATAAGAACGATACGATTTGATGGATTGGACTTGTCGCAAGAGATACTGGGCATAAAGTACCGGGAAACGTCCTCGAATTAACACTACCTTAGTATAAAAAAGTGGAAAGCGGGAGAGCGAGTCCTTCTTGTCCCTGACATCAAATCTCTACCCACATCACAAAAGATATGCGAGCTCCCTGTCTTTTTCAGACACATCTCATGCCATCAAGAGAGAATAAAACAACATAAACGTTCAGCAGGCAAAAATATGGACTATACCGGATTTGAACCGGTGACCTTTCACAAGCGTATCTGACTCAGATGAGCGATGCGAAGCGAAAATCATACCCCTAGACCAATAGCCCGATCATGATTTTATATCGCTGATTGATGAAAGGAACCTCGACGACTTTAGCCTATGATGGGGCTACCAACATCAGGTGGCGAACTGCATGTCCCAGACATTCAGCTGTCAACACCGCAGGCATCTGCGATGTACACATTTTACAGGTAGGCAACTGGTTGCTTCCCCGTCAAGTCGCATTGAGGCCAATTGACTCGCCTCCACCTGCTATGGCGCTGGCCGGCCGAAGTTGCTTGACTGTTGGAAGAGGGTTGATATCTCCTTCCAGAATGCAAGGTGTCTGAATTCCGGCCTCTGGCGGCCACATGTCCAGACCTGTTTCCAGGTCTCCCATCAACATTGGCCGTCCTTGCCGCCTTGGGTTCAGAATATCAATCCTGTAAGCACAGGTGCCGTGAAGGTGGTGCTGGACATGTTTTCCTCGACAACCAGAAACCTACCAGCATCCTTCAACCCACAATCGCCCACTCAACCTAGAATCGTCCATCCGTCCACCATCCCTTCATCACACGTCTGAAATTCTCCTCTCTCCGGTACGTCGAGACACTCCCCACGCCAGTGCATCGCTGACGAGCGTTTGGATGGCAGGTGTGGCCCTCCAACATGTGCCGTATGTACTACAGACACAGCTTCTGTCCGCACAGCGACCACACGATTGGAACCCCAAGAGTCTGGTCTACGCTCTCTCGCAGTTCGTACTGTCTGATGATCTTCCCGGTTCCAGAGTACGCCCTAGGCGCAGCAGCTGGCCAAGGACCGACGGGGATATGTACGCGGGCGGGAGGGGCGGAATGGTTTGCACAGGTTTACCCTGAGATTTGCTGGCCATGTCTCGAGAAAACTCAAGGGCGTGAGATTCCACCAGCTGAGCGGAGGCAGCCTGTGTGGTCCGCGAATACCATCATGGCAGTCTTTGGGTCGCTGGACAGGGGCCCGGACGCACTCAGGTTCTGGGCGGGGTGGGTGGGAGTTTGGGGGGACGGAGACGCGGGGGGACGCCGCGAATTGGTTGAGTGGTACTCGGGACAGGGCTCTAGCGAAGGAGTGTGAGCACATGGGCATAGAAAAGGGCTTGGATCAAAGTTATCAGTACCTGGTACGTAGCACGGATGCCATCACAGCGTTGATTCGTATCCCAGTTCCGCGTCGCTCTGCGGGAGATGCAGTGTCACCTGTCAAGGTCGGAATGCTACTGATGGCTACCGCGTTAGGCTACCGACAAACAAAGAAGGCAAGGGTCGAATCACCATTGGGAGAGTTGGCACCGACGCGGGAGTCGAGTCGAGGCATGCCTTCGAGGATTGCGAATTGGGACAAAGACTTGGCCGTGGTTGGATTACATGGTGGGGGTGGATGGAGGGGTGTATGGAGGGTGGCACAGACCACCACCCGGTAGCGGCCCAACAGATAAAGAACGACCGCCTTGGCATTTCGAGATTGAACAAAGTTGGACCGAACACAGTACCGTTCGCAAAGAAGAGTCCACGCCACCGGCTTCCCACGACCCCAATGTCGTCTCCCGCCGCCGCCACGATGCCGACGACATGGCTACCACCTCTTCCACTTGGTCGGGTGGGCGTCCCGATGCCAGATATCGACAACCATGCAGGTCCATGACGCGCGCCGCGACGACGACGTCGACATGGCCGACGCCGCTAGCCCTCCCCTCGGTCCCTATGATCCTCCCAACCTCGGCCCTAGGAGTCTCGGTGTCCTTGGCCAGGGACGCATGGGGCCGCCGACTCCCCCTCCCACCGTCTGCTCCATCAGCTCCCTCTGCTCGCCAGCCACGCCCACGCCGATGGGGAATTCGCACGAAGCCGCCCAGTACGGTGCCGTCCAACCCGTTGCTCCACCGCCACCGCAGCCGCAGTACCAACCCCAGGCTCGACCCAGGTCCATACACTTTGCCGCGGCCGCCATCGAGCCGGCGCCGCACGACTACCAGAGCGATGCCGACGAGTTCTCGCTCTCGGATGGCTTCACCATGCACTCGACGGGGTCGATGAGCGTCACGTCGACCGTCTACGCTCACACGATGGAGAACGGACGGCGGTTCCAGCACTTTCGGCACGGCCGCTATCCCATCCCCAACGACGATGACGAGATGGAGCGGGAGAACATCAAGCACGCCATGCTACTGGAGCTGATGGACGGCGGGCTGTACTATGCCCCCATCGGCGACAACCCCCAGAACATCCTCGACGTGGGCACTGGCTCGGGCGCCTGGGCCATCGACATGGGCGACCGCTTTCCCGGCGCCCACGTGCGCGGCATCGATCTATCGCCGGTCCAGCCCTCGTTGGTGCCTCCAAACGTCGACTTTCTGATAGATGACTGCGAGCAAGACGAGTGGTTGTCGCACAATATCGACTTTGTGCACCTGCGGTTCATGGCGGTTGTGCTTAGGGACGTGCCCACCATGCTGCGGCGGGCGTTTGAGTGGGTTTCCTTTCGTTTCCCCCGGGCGAGAACCCACTGACCAAGACGTTTGACAGGGTGCTCCGTCCCGGCGGCTGGATCGAGCTGCAAGAGGTGTGTGCCGAGCCGCTGTGCGACGACGGCACCATGTTACCCGACGACCCTGTCAAGCACATGTACGACCTGGCGCACCAAGCCTTTGCCTGCTTCGGCATGAACATTACCCTTCCCAAGCACCTGGGGCCCATGCTCGAGGCAGCCGGCTTTGTCAACATTCAGTACGAGGTGATTCGGGTGCCGATTGGCGCCTGGGCTCGTGATGCGACGCTGCAAGTCATTGGGTACTACCAGCAGGAAGCGGTCCTCGGGATGATGCCGGTTCTGGCCGGGCGACCGTTTCAGGCGCTGGGGCTGTCGGAGACAACGAGCGAGATGACGCTGGCCATGGCGAGGGAGAGCATGAGAAGCACGAACGTCCATCGCTACTTTAATTATTATTTCTGGTTTGCGCAGAGGCCTGGCACTTTTGATGGCTAATGGTGGCGTCGTTCAGGTTGGGCATGGGATGGACGGAATGGCTTTTGGGCGCAAGGAGCAGGAATTTCGCTCCGGATTCTATTTGCAGTGGAAGGTGGCGTTGAGAGGAGTGTCAAGAGGACCCACATACCAGGCCTGGCTCCTACCTACAAACGGGAGGTACACATAGCCTTCCCTAGGTTTATAGGTTCGAATTTGCAGTCCAAATTTCACAGTTGGGTCTCGCCAAAGGTAGCCGACCTTGGCCGAGTGGAAGTGTGTTGCGCCGCTGTAACTGCCGGCACTAGACCAACCTACAAATTGTTCGTCAGGATTCGCCGGCGACTCTACACGGTTTGGGTTCGATTCCTGCCTTGGGCAAGTAGGAGTTGAATTTGTAGTGTTTCTTGCCAGCACCTAGCCATTCTCATTCCCAAACCTATCCCTTCCCCCAAGATCCAACGCCTACAAATTATATCCATACCTACGGGACCCTAACATAACCCCCAGTCCATCCGTCAACGCCCTCTTCCATCTCCTCAATACCCATGCGCAGCCAACTCCCTCTCCGTCCACTCCCACAACTCCGCGGCCAACCCGTCATCCTTGCCATCCTTGCTCGCCTTGCCCGCAACCCCGACCGGCTCGTAATACTCCCCGCTCACCACCTTGTCGCTCACACACGCCCACAGCTGATTGCGGACGCCGTCCTCGACGCTCTTCATCACCAGCGGCCCGAGCACCTTGATCGCGGCCGTCATCACCCACGGTGTCTCGCTGCCAACAATCCCAGTGACCACAAGGCCGGGGTGCACGCTCACCGTCAAGACGCCGGGGTGCCGCCTCGCCATCTCGCGCGCAAACAGTACATTCGCCAGCTTGCTGCGAAAGTAGCGCTCGTACGCGCTCAGGTCGCCGGCGTCCGTCTTCATCGAGTCGGGCTTCAGGCCCCACCCCTGGGGCCAGGCCTTGTGGCCGGCTGAGGAGAGGACGACGATGCGCGGGGCGGGGGCCCGTTGGAGGACGGGCAGGAGGAGCTTGGTAAGGAGGGCGTGGCCCATGTGGTTGGTGCCGAACTGGATCTCGTAGCCGTCGGCGGTAAGGCCGGGCGGGACGGCCATGATACCGGCGTTGAGGAGGAGGATATCGAGGGCGCCGGAGGGGGAGAGGTGGGCGGCGAGGGAGGCGGGGAGGGCGGCGATGGAGGCGAAGGAGGTCAGGTCGAGGGCCAAGGGGACGACTTTCGTGGGGTTGGTGAACTGGGTGGGGGTGGGGAGGGAGGAGATGGCCGTGGTGGCCTTGGCGAGGGTGCGCGCTGTGAGGAAGATGACGGCTGGGGGGAGGTCGTGCGAGAGGAGGGAGGCGGCCGATTGGTAGCCGAGGCCGGAGGCGGCGCCGGTGATGAGGATGGACTTGCCGGTAAGGTCGGTGCCGGGGGGGAAGGTGGGGGCGGGGGTACAGAGGCCCATCATTGTGAGGTGGGGGTTTGCTGTGGTGGAGTGTGGAGGTTTGATAGTGGGGGTTGAATGGAGGTCCTGAAGCGAGGTTGGTGTTGAATGATCTGGTGGTGTTTGATGGAGAAAGGAAGGTGAACAAAAGAAAAAAGGTCGACGTCTTTATACACGAACTGCCAGGGTAGCCCGAAGACTGCAGTCCGTAAGGAAGCGAAAAGGGTATCTTGAAATGGACTTCAATGAGGTTTCTTGCGATTCCCATTGCTGTTCGAATGGAGAAGTCATTTGAGTTGTGACCGTTGATGAATTGCCGACTACTTTTGGAATAGCTTCGGGATCCGGCCTTGGCTGCGTTAACATGCATCCCCGAAGAGCTTGCTTGTCCCGAAACGGAATACAATCATGAGTCTTGGCGAGTCCTTGGCAGCATGAGATCCTCCGGGGGAGGGGTGGGGTCGACAAGCCCAGGCACCGGAGACAGTGAAACCAACTGAAGGGAAAGCCGAACCTGCACCTCTCCTTCTGCTTCTTCCCATCTTCCGTTTTGGGAATACAATCTTGACGATACTCATTTTGCAGTCGCAGCACCAGTCAGGACCCTCTGCAATCA